TATTATTATTATTATTATTATTATTATTATTATTATTATTATTATTATTATTATTATTATTATTGTTGTTGTTGTTGTTGTTGTTGTTATTGTTATTTTACAGGGTACATTGTACCTTGTACCCTGTTTTTCTATATTAGTATTCTGTACTCTAGTGCCACTTTGGTCCCCCGAACTTTAAAATCCGACAATTTAGTACCCAAACTTTCAAAACGTGCCAATCTAGTACCTGCTATTAACCATCTCGTTAATCAGCCATTAAGTGACATTTGAAAAGACACAAATGCCCTTTCAGTGTCATCTAATTTTCTTTATCAACCATCCATATGTTGATAAAAATGAACAGTCCCAAATCTTTGCCTCTTCTGTTAAAGAAAGTTGGGGTCACTAGAATACCCACTATGACGTAACTCCAACTTTCTTGAAGTTCATTTTTATCAACATATGGATGGTTGATAAAGAAAATTAGATGATACTCAAAGGGCATTTGTGTATTTTCAGATGTCACTTAATGGCTGGTTAACGGATTGGTTAATGACAAGTACTAGATTGACACATTTTGAAAGTTCGGGTACCAAAGTGGCACTAGGCCCAAAGTATAGGGTACTAATCGGCAATTTCCCCATTTTTTATGATATTCTTAGAGGTTCCATCACTTTCATTGCTTTAATTGATAGGTGGCAACTCCATTTTATCCCAAGTGAGCCGTTTTCCAATGCTTACAGTTGGCCCCACTACTTAAACATACTTAAAGGTCCCATCACTTCCATTTTTTTAATTGATGGGTGGCAACTCCATTTTAGCCCAAGTGAGTCGTTTTTTTATGCTCACAGTTGGCCCCACTATTTAAACATACTTAGGCCCATCAGTGATCTTTGAAAATCAAAGGCATTATCCGACATCCAATCCAATTATCTCGAATTCAGATGATGTATTTATGTAATCGAATTGGATATGGATGTTATTAATAATTGGATCGGATTTGGATTTGACCCCATATGATCCGATTAAAATCTGAATCCGTGTATATTATAATATTTATTGATTTTAATATATAAATTTTATATAATTATATGTAAAATTATATAAAATATATTCTATATATATTATGTTCTATATAAATTTATATATAATAAATTCAATATGTTATATCTACATTAATTCATTACATATAAAAGTTGAAAAGTACTTAATTATTTTTTGGCATTTTATAAAATAAAGCGGTGTCAAATTAAATTCGAACCAAGTGTAGCCTCTTGACAACTGGGCAACACGGGAAGCTCGGGCAGCTCGGCAGAGCTTGCCACTTACAGACAGCTCGGCATGGCTCGCCACAGGCAGCTCAGCAAAGCTCGCCACAAGCAGCTCGGCATAACTCGGGGAGCTCGGTATAGCTAGGGGCAGCTCGGCGTAGGCAGCTCGCCACAGGCAGTTGGCCACTCCGCAGGCAGCCTAGCGTCTTACGAAGAGCTCGCCACTTAGGGGCAGCTCGACACTTACAGGTAGCTCGGCATAGGTAGCTCGCCACTGAGGGGCAGCTCGGCGTATCGCAGGAAGATCTCCTTCCTGACAACCGTACCTGACAGATCTGGAGACCTACGCCCACGTCTCTCGCTAAGCGACGTCGTGCCTGCCAGCCCTGAGAGCTGTCCCTTGACTGGCAGAGCCGTACTCTGCAGTAGCCGCCTGCACCCGCCACCTCAGCTCTGGCAGTAATGGCTGCGGCAGAGAGACAGAGGCGGTTACGCCTGACTTGATAGAGGCTGTTACGCCTTATTTGACAGGACACCACTATATAAGGACTCTGACCCCCAAAGACAAGGGGGAGAGAATGAAAAAATGGAGGTAATCCCTGCTCTCTAGCTCTCTCATTTCTCTCCAAGCCCTCTGTAATCAGAATGCTAACTTAGGCATCGGAGAGTCCCTGCTAGGAAAATGCCCCCGGGTCCTCTGATTTAGTTCTCGCAGGTCCATTAGCTCCCACCGCCTACAAAGGAGAGGATATCACCTCATGCAGAGGGCAGTCGGGTTGCGCTACACCAGGGAGCTCCACCATCCCCTGAGTTACAGGCCGCCTAGGAGCAGGTCAAATGATGAGTCCACCCAGGTAGCTCACCACCAGGGAGCTCATCACCAGGTAGCTCACCACTAGGGAGCTCGTCACCAGGTAGCTCACCGCCAGGGAGCTCGTCACCAGGTAGTTCACCGCTAGGGAGCTCGTCACCAAGTAGCTCACCACCAAGGAACTCGTCACCAGATAGCTCACCACCAGGGAGCTCGTCACCAAGTAGCTCACCACCAGGGAGTTCATCACCAGGTAGCCCACCGCCAGGGAGCTCGTCACCAGGTAGCTCACCACCAGGGAACTCCACCATCCTCTCCTGGGAGCAGGTCAAATGGCGAGACACTTAGCCAAAAAAAAATTGATACATCACAAAAAATTGGTACATGACCAGAAAATGTTACATCAGCGTGCTTCATTGAATGTCCAGTTCGTGAAACTGCAACGAAAGAGATTTTCTCTCATCCAATCGATTCAACAAACTCTCAAGGTGTCTGGTTTCTGAAACTGCAACAACAAAGAAGTCTACAACTTGAAGGTGTCCGATTCAGCAATCTTTCAATAGCCTATGTCATGGAGTGCGTCAAGACTTTGTTAAAAGCATCTCGACACTATTAAGGTAGCCAATTTGTAGTACTTTCATCAAGGACATGAATAAAACAAGTTCTCCTTCCTCTAGTTCTCCTTCCTCTCTCGTGAATGTAGGTCTCTTTGACTGAACCACGTAAATCTGGTGTCATCTTTACCTTTATTATTTGTTTTTATTATTTGCTTTATAATTAACATATTTCTCAGTTTTTGAGTTTGCCATCTGATCGCCATACTAATTAATCAGTAATTCAGAGTATTAATCTTGGGCCTAGTGTTCACCCATTCTCATTTTGTMTTGGTCGCATGGTCATCTTTTGGTGCCAGAATTCCCAACTATGAATCTACGATACAAGAGCAAGCAAACGTGGAACACCTAGATGACATCATCGACTATCACTGAAAGAATGAACTAAGGTGGTGTTTGTCATCGATGTCGTTGCCCTAAAAAATGGGCTACATCAGCCCGTCAGAAAAAAACATTACTGTGAAAAACAGGTAGCTGTTTGGTTCCGGTTTTTCAGAAAACGGAGAGAAAACGACCATGCCTTGAAAATCGATGTGTCGTTTGAGGAATCATCAAATTGAACGTTTTCTCATTTTCTCATCCATTGCTGCCATGACTACATGACGTGGCTGCTGATGTAGCGCCAATGAGATCACCATTGCTGGGGATCTGCACCATCACCGGTCTGCAATGAGACCTACAACATCGTGGAAGACCTACACCACCGAGATCTACAACAAGATCTACACCATCACTGTCTGCAACGAGATATACACCATCACCGTCTGCAACCTCTACACCACTGGTCTGCAGTGAGGTCTACCACTGCTGGAGATCTACACCATCACCGTTGGAGTGCTGTCTGAACAAATATTACCTGTTTCAGCGTCTATTTTGCCTATGTGGCAGCACCCATGTTAAACAGAAAAAAAGAGCCATTTTCTCAGAAAATGGTGCAATAGACCTCATCCTTACAACACCATTTTCTCAGAAAATGGCTGAGGCAACGGCATCGATGCCAAACACCAGCTAATGGTAAGGTTTGATTGAACGATATCTCATATCAAATCTCTGCATAAAAGGCTATGAACAATATCTGTTTCATCCAAATTTGAATTTGATCTGGTTAAGGGTATATGTTTTAATGGAATATGGAACCACCTCTATCTGATCCAAGACGATTCAATTCAATTTAATCATCATCATCATCTAAGCCTTATCTCAACTATATGGAACTAGTTTCATATAATTTATTTTCAATTCATTTTGTTCATGATATATAATATCAAGATCATTTTTAGTTCATTTTATTGGGTTACAATTGTTGTGTATAGTTTTACCCTGTTAACGTTATTCAATATCATTTTTTATCAGACGTTATTCAATATTAAATTGCAACATAAATACAATTTGAATCCGATATTAATCCAACAAAAAGATCAATTCGAATCCAAATATAAATAAAACAAATTTGGATCTACCTGTATCTGATTTTGTACGCAGCCCTATATGTTTATTGACATATTTAAGTTGCAGGCCATCCTTTGTCTGGGAGGGCTGAAGCTTTGGGTTGAGTTGAGTTGCTTTCGATGAGCAGCTTTACTCTAGAGAAGCATATTATCCACTCATGAATGTGGATACCATTTATTAAGAAGCTCCAACAGAAGAACAGCGGCAGAATCCTTGGCCTTCTTAACGCTTGGCATGGGTTCCCCAACGCAATCATCTGTCCACCCCCTATCAGTAGTATTCACACGAACAGAATATGTAAACCTCTTTGCATGTGCAGGACCACCTTCATTTACACACCTAAAAGTAACAAAACATAGGCATGTTAAAGGAATGTCAATCTACAGTTTGAATGGGGTTCGAAGGTTGGTAATCTTCTCTTACCGATATTGAGGCATCGGCCACTGCCTCCGCAAGCATATGTCATTCAATGTCTGTCTAGTGAATGTTTGAGTGCCGTTCTTTTTCTTTCCATTCTCTTCACCCTTCTTAGCTTTGGATGTTTCCTCGTCTTTCAATACAATGAGCGCATTCCTTGCAGCTAATTTCTGTGCCATCTTCTTCTGTGGGTTCTGAGCAATTCCAACCTGAACACCATCAATGTAGACTTCAACAGTAGCCAGATTGCCACTTCGAGTGGCTTTGTATTCCAACCCTTCAGCCTGTTGCTGGCATCGCTCTTGCAGTTCTCTGACAGGATGCATTGGAAGGGTTTCTGGAGTTACCATTGGATGCAACAACGGTTGGAAAACCTGGGAATAACAACAAAATAGAAAGATCAGCGGCATCAGCCAATCAACACATTTTCAGGGCCTGCAATTTATAGCATAATTCAAGATCTAAAAACTCCAAAGGCATGATCTGTGCTCAAACTTACTCTCCACACGACAGAAGTATCCCCTCCACTATCAAGAAAAATGGCACCAGCAATGGATTCAACAATATCACCAAGTACCTTGGGAGCTTTACAATCTCCCAAGCCAAAAGAGTTGAACCCTGGCTTTAACAATTCATCTTGGACATCATTTACGAAGTCCCGAATCTGAGAAGAAAGACCAAAACTAATGTCACAACAACTTCCCGCAGAAAGAAATTTGCTAAGGCCAGTACATGAAAAGATAAAAAGGGGAGAAAGGGGAAGATGGACCTGAGCTTCAAGGGCACTTGATCCGTGCCGAAGGTGCAGATGGAGCTTGTGCTTAACTGCAACACGTGCAAAGTTTTCGTTGTTTACAGCAGCAGCACGCAAGTCAGTCAAGCGGCCTGGTGGTAGATCAGTGTATGTGAAGAACAAGTGCCTTGTAATCAAATGATCCAGAACAGCATCACCAACAAACTCTAGGCGTTGATAACAGGAAACTCCCGATGAAGGGCGTGAAGCATGAGTAATGGATTCAACCAACAAACCTCTATCTTTAAATTTAATATTTAAGGCACCTTCCAGGGCTTCAAAATTGACACTCCTGAGTATGCTTTCTGGGATAGCACGTGGCTTGTTTGAGCTTTCTATCTCTTTAGGATCAAACTCCACCTGAATTCCAATCCATTTCATTAGGTGATTTGCAGCTTGCTTCCCACCTTCAACATAATATACTCCTATCAATGCTTCAACAACATCAGCCAATGTTTTGCTAGAGAGGACTCTATAGCAACTTGAATCACTCTCAACTTCACCATCCTCCATTTCATCATCTTCATATGAATCACCACACAAGCTTTTTCCTGGTTCAACCTCAGGTGGTGTAACATCCTTCTCAAAGAACGATACTTCTGCTTCCTTGGTGTCCTCATCAAATACAGGTAACACACCAGGAGCAGCCCATCTTGATGGAGCAAAACGATCGGCTTGAATATATGACTGGAGTCCTTTATTTAGAGCATACTGGTAGAGTACCATGTTACTGACCATTTGCTGCCTCATCCTAGTAAGCTGACCCTCGTGTTTCTGGGGGTATTTAAGAAAAAGGAATCTGCTAACAACCCACTTGAGGTAAGCATCTCCTAAAAGTTCTGCTCTTTCATAGCAGAAGGTCTCCTGACATGAGGCAGCAGTCAAAGCCTCCAAGATCTGCATTTT